GCCCCACGGAGTAAGTCAGCTTTGTACGAATTTGACACGGAATATTTCCCCCATGCTCCACGGATCATGCCATCATGCGACCTTGCGCGTAAACTTTCGGAACCTAATATATGAGGGAATGTAGGAAAGGCATTGCTGTTAAAGTAGCGCTTGTCATTTTTAGAGAGCTGCAGACAAACAAACAAAGAGATAACTTGCAAAGCAGCCGGTGCCAGGAACAATTTCTAGAAGCGCGAATCACTACTGGTGCAGGCTTCTCAAATTCATTAGGACAACTGGGGGATCTCGAGGCGAGCTTACTCAATATTATCCGAAATTAATTACTGGTTCTTCAGCTCTGAACAAAAATGCGGTTACGATTTGAAATGCAACAATTTTGCATCTTCCCTTTTTTTTTTAGCAATTCTTGCTACTGCCTATTCCGTTAAATCGCCTTCCACCATATGCTTTTTGTTTTTTTCTGACAAAAAAGTTAGTATGTAGGCTAAAGTATCCCTTGCCATTCCTTCGATGATGGCAAATGTAAAACTGCTGTAGGTTTTTTTTCAAAAAGTGGAACCTAGCCGAAATTATGCAATAATTGACAAAGTGTAATTCACGCCGCGCAATTGGGTTGAGGTTACTTCGTCGCGAATAATTGCCTCAAGGGTCCTGCAGGAAATGACGCTGTAAAAACCCTGATTCTTTCTAGATTGAGAGAGCAAGCGAGTGATACAGTTTCACCACGTCCGATTTGGAAATCAAAACTTCTCAGAAGCTAATGTTTCAATGGATGCAGTTTGATGTGTTTTTGAAATTTCTATCATAGTCCATTTTGGAAAACAAGATGAAAATTTTTATGGCGAAAAACAGGCCAATGTTTTTCAAAGAAGTGTTCTCAAGTCGTACTAAGTGAAGACGCTATTTGACGATCTTGTTTCTTTTTGTGCCTTTTTTAATACGACGAAAACATTCAAGAGCAAGTCCAGCAAATTTTTAAACAAAAAAAATAAAAGTAAAATAAGCAAAAGATGAACAAGTGTAAGTAAAATAGTCTACTTACTTCACTCGGCACACTTTATGACGAAAATCTGCTAGTTTTTTTTTTCTATGGTTTCTAGTCACAAAAAAATTCTGCCACATTTTCCAATCACGAATAATCTTAAAATTTGAGACAGCATCAGGCGTCGATCAGCGAATCTCCTTCGTGCGGAGAGCGCATAGCCGCTATCTAACGAGCACCGTAGTACTCTGGTAACGAAAGAGGTAAGCAAACCAGCCCTTTTGGCGTTTCTGGGACCGTATGCTGAATGTTGGGGAGGGGATGGGGTCCCCAACGGTCGACGGACTTACTTCAACTCGGTTGGTACGATAGGAGAGTACTGACGCAAGCTGGTCCAGCAGCTCCGCCAGAAGGGCTGGTTTGCTCACCCCAGGACTAAGCCTTGGAGAGGGGACCTCTCTTTAAGGCTTAGTTCTGAGGTAAGCACCAAATTGTGGCGGTTCTAAGGACCGAGTTGAAGTAGTCCGTCGACCGTCGGGGACCCCATCCCCTCCCCAACATTCAGCATACGGCCCCAGCAGAAACGCCAAAAGGGCTGGTTTGCTTACTTCGGTATAATCAGTCAGGTGATGTATGAGTCCCAGAGTGTTTATTTAACGGCACAATCTTGAAGAACTCTCAGAAATTTCATTTATTCATTTATACACTCAACTAGGTGCAAATTATTGATCAATCTTCTGGCAATGTTTCATAGAATACTTTATTGTTGTTCAATAGAATAGAAAGGAAAAGAAGAAAAATGTGAGCCCAGTATTAACACCCTCCTTTTAGCACACTTCCAGCTAATGCACAATTGTATAATATAAAGATACGATTTTTATTAGATGCACAGCCCTCCTCTAAAATTCCCAGTGTGCGGCGGCAACTTGCTTACTTGCTTGTAGTTTTATTGCTGACGAGGGAAGGTCATCAGGCGGGTGGGAGCGTCATCAGGGCGTCCGCATTTGCAATGAGCGTACGACTTGTTGAGCGCTTCGGCGGAGGCGCTCAGAGTCAGAACGCCCTCTTATCTGACCTAAACGATTCTTTACGTAAACTTATAAAGCAAGGCGAGCGCCAGCGAGCAGTTCCTTGCAGGTTTGGGCAGTAGTCGTCCATGTATGAACATGGTGCCCGTAATGCACGTGTCAGGCTTTTTCGCGGCAAACAGGCGTGATATTCGTGTTCAGGAGATCAAACTACCCTTGGAGATAAGTTTCCTACCGAATCTGAGATTTTGACCCAACCCTAAAAAATGAGGTGAGTCAACCATCATATCATCAACCTATCGTTGAACTCTTGGCATGGAAATTGCCCTTCCAACCAAGATTTTGAAAAGAGAATCGCAAATTTCCGCATAACGATGTGTGACTCTGCATCAAAATTCAGGGAAAATGCTTTTCCAGTTAGTTTTCGATTCATACACTCTGTTTCATGCAGCCAGAAATCCACGTGGCACACGTGGCTAAATTCTCGATGAAAAGGTGACATCACGTGTGCTCAAAGATGTTCTTGAATCGATGCCACGTTAATGCCACGTCAATTTCTGCAATTGCACAATTTCTGGTCATTTGAAGGCGAGGGTACCTTCTCTCGTTTGACTGTATGTTGACTGCCCTTTCTCGAGTGTAGGTCAAAATCTCAGATTCAGCTGGAAACTTGTAACCAGGGAAAATTCGGTCTCCTGAACACGAATATCATACTCGTTTACCGCAAAAACACCTTATCAGTGGGCTATGAGCGTCGTTTTCAGTCATGGCAAATATTAATTAAATAATAGCTCTCAACCTGCGACGGGGTGCTCTTACACAGGCAGGTAAAGGCAGGCATTGAGGAAATACTGTCGCTAAAAGCCTTTCTGGTCATGTTTTCAAAAAGGCAAAACAACAAACACCACGAGAGACCGATCCCATGACCTCTCGCCTACTAAAATGCTGGGTCATAGAAAGAACTTCTCGCCAGCGAGCATTGAACAGCGGGACAGGGTGAATAACGGTCGAGGAAATCCTCGACAGGGGGTCGTATTTGCTCCGATGAGAGTTGGGAGGGGGTCGTAATCAAAAGGTTCATCAACGGACACAACGGTGCTGCTGCCACTTATTTGCTGTCATCATTAGTTTCACAAGTGTTGTACTTAGCCTAATGCAAATAACATCTTACAAGTGGTTGTTGGTTTGGTTCGTAGTGATCAGTATGGCATAGGAAGGCAACGCGTCCTGCAAAAGAATCGTAGGGAAAGGGCAGCGAGTATCTACTCTAGAATGATGCACATGCTTCGAGAACTTAGTGGAGGAACAGCATCTTGGTAGAAAGTTCAAAACAGGCAGATTCGCAGCCTTCTTGGCATCATCAGATCCTGCAACCGCAAGCGTGTCATTCATCAGAACGGGTTGGAAAGGAAGCGATTTGAATAATAAAAGACATCACTATGACCACAAGAGTTATCCTAATTAGTTAATACTGGAAATATCTTTTGGTCTGCTTAAAGGCACAACCCAGGCAGAGGTCGTGTGAACGCTTCTCTTCGGCTGAAGTATAGACCCCTAGAGGACAATCACAAATGTGGCGTTCTCGTGCACGGAAACCGACCGATAAGAGCGCTTGGGCCTTGCAAAGTAAGCTGCCCAAGCTGCAGACTTTTTTCTCTTATCAGGCTGTTGTCTGGCGATCTCTCATCTGTAGCGCTCTCTCGCCCCATACTCTCCTCTCCGCGCTTAGTCTCTCATTCCCTTAGCACAGCCGATTAGGAAGGTGAGTGAGCCCTTGCACAACTTCGAAACTAGAAGTCTCGTGCATTCAAAAGCTGCCTTCACTTTCTGAAATGGTTATCAATGAAGAAAGTTATAGTCCTTTGAAATAGGGGGTACATTTGACGATTTTTCCAACTAGCGCGCTCTAGGCACAGCGCGCGACGCGATCGCGGGTAGTTAGCGCCGCTATACTGGAGCGCGAGACTGTTCAACTGTGTAGGGGCAGTACCTCCTTCAATGTTCTACTTTCCGGCCAATGTGGCAAAGGTTAAATGTCTTTAAAGGAAAGAAGGAGAACCTAATCTGAGCAGAATTGAATCTAGCATTTGGATCAAGCCGCATTTGCGTGGCAGCGGCGCTGCGTCCCTCTCGCACATCTGAAACTAGCATTTTTTGATATGAAACCGGATGTGCAGAGGACAAAAAGGGGTCGTATCAGAGTCCATGTTTTGGAGGGGGGTCGTAAAGAGGCGGTTATTTCCTCGACACGATTTTCACCCTGGTCAGCATAAGCCGCTCCTCTCGCTTTCAAGGGAGTCGTGCTAACGATTACATTACTGGAGCACCTCACGTAATCGGTAGCACATCTGTACAGATCGCACGTTCGATTCCCGTCTGAAGCTTAGAGTTTTGCCCATGACCCTGCGGAACCATGTAAATTATTCCGCTCCCGAATTCCCTCTGAAGTATGTTACGAATGTTGGCAGCGAGGCGATTCCATTTGTTTGCGGGTGCCGTCAGCAAGAAATCTAGGCCTCGCTACCTATGGCAAGAACGTTTCAATTTTTAATTTGATCTAATCTATCCCTGTTTCTGTTTCTGCATCGGATTTGGAGACTTTAATTCATTTTTTTCCGCGACGTGTCATCTATGAGTGACCACGCCTTCACTCATGTGGCCCTCACTCCGCCACGGTGCCTGTGAATTGCCACAAGGCATGGTTACATGAAGTTTTGTTTCACTGAGAAAATCGAATTCATGAACGGCTTTTTTATTCAGTAGTATGTATGCCCGGTTCAGTTTTCGGTGATCACAAGAACGCCACTAGCGCAAGAATAAAATTGCAAAACAACTACGCAGAATAGAAGAGCTAATTGGTAGCATTCTTCCAGTATGACAAGATCTACAACTGATTTAAATACTACATCTTTATTCTGATAAGAAACATTTTGAACGCCACGAACTTCAATGTAGCGCTTATGCATGAAGTTGTACTTGAGTACACTGAGCTAACCCGGGGGCCTAGTGTGAGGAATTGAGCTTCTGAAATGCAAACTGAAATTCGTATTCATAGTATGTCCCTAAATTGACCACAACGTGTACACTTACGTGTCGAACATGCAATTCAGGACTACACGGTGCTTACTAGAACTCTTCTTGGTGGTCAACACCAAACCACATCCAAAATATTTGTTCGCAAGAAGCACCTTAAATTATCGAAAATTATTGCAAAGGTGATATTTTGATTAGACTGTCCAGTTTCCAAGGTTGATCGAACCTTAATAGCTTCCAACAGAAATTGAGGTCCCCATAACTCACCCGACCTCTACATGGTTGTTTATCAGCCTCCTTTAAAGCGATCTCCATCAGTGCTCCATCCAGGCACTTTCCCATGAAACTGAAAATGGCAGTCGTGCAGAGAACAGAGGTTGATTCGCCAGCGCTGGGCAGGGAATATTGTTAACATCGATCGCTATGAACCTTTTCATTTCGCAATCGTCTTTTTTTGGCCCATGGAGCCATTCTCTTCTGTAGGCCATTTCCGCAAGGGAGCAGTTATATTCCTGCAATGAGTGAATCGGATACGTAACGCTTAAAAGTCTTCGACCAAATGTTTTTTCAGTCTTAACTTTTTCACCGTCTTATGGAATCCGTTTAAATTCTAATGTTTCGAAGACGAAGGTTCACCGGATCGGCACATTTCTGTCGAATAGGAGTAAGAAAGGAGAGTGAGAACATAATTTGCTGGGAATTCCCCAGTTTGACCAAGTTTCAGCTAATTATCAAATTATGAGAAGAAACTCATAATTAACGGAACAATCGACTACGTATAACATTGAGCAGAATTGATGCTTGCTGATGAATCACTAGGTTTGAAGTTGGAATCCGCGGATCTCTTTCACTGAGGGTCCTCTCTCACTGAAAGATCTCGAGCCGGTTGGTGGCGAGGCTACGTGGCGCGACCCCAGGTGGCGGATAGGGGGTAAATCACCAAAAGCCACCATGTACTTGCCCTGAGACGCAGGCAAAATTCAGGGGATCACTTCCTGTTTCTAAAGGACTCTATCGGTTGAAATCAGCCGTCACCACTT